TATATATATATATAATGTTATAAGGACAACTTTGCATACTTTGCACTTTGACAATGCACTTATCGGCCGATTTTTAGAACAAATCGTTAATTAGTCGGCCGATTAGTGCACTAAAAAAAATTCCTGGATAGATAACCGTTGGAATCAGGCTAGATCGGGATTGGCCAGTGACCGATCCCAAGTTAGTCGACCGATGTTTTAAAAATTGACCGATTTTTAAATACTGTATACAGAGACTTTTTATTTTTTTGTACATGAGGTCACAATCATTCTTATATCTTAAGTTTCAAAATAGATAGTTTAAGAGTATCATTAAATAGACACAAACTTCCAAAAAAGAAATTCTCATAGACTTCGTGATACATCTCAATCCATCCAATTAGACATATAATGAGTGGGAATGATTGTGACATCCATGAACAAAAGATAAATATTTTTTTTATAGAAAATCCCTATATTTAATGTGTATACCATGATATCATTGTAACAAAAAAAATGAGGCAAATGACATGTTTAGAAGGATTTTATCCTTCGACAATTTGTGGATCCATTTGATCACCGGATGAAAGAACGAAGAAGGAATTTTGAGTACCTAATACCTAGATCTGATTGTCCAAAGATTGGATGATCTGTGTGCAATCAAAAGAGTATGATTTTTTTTTTTCCCTCAGTATAATCCAGAATGCATGTTCAAGTATTCTTTTCTGTCTTTTTTTCTTTAGGTTTGTCGCTAGGTTGAGTACAGCACATCTTCAAAATTCGAGGTCGGCTTCGCCTGAAAGACGAAACGAACAATTTGCTCCCACGAGGGAGCATAGTATCAATGCATTCCACCAGTGTCATGACAGGCAGGCAGATGATAAATGGTGCTAAAAAAAAAAAACAGTGAAATTAATACCCACAACCAAAACTTTGCACCAAGAATGAACCAAGGGGGCCTACTCTTTTTATTTACTTCCAAAAGATGCCTATTTCCACACAAACAAAAGGCCTATGCATGCACAATATGAACCAAACTGGCCTACTCTTTGTTCAATGTGAAAAAGATGCACATTTCCAAACAAAAAGATATATACAAGATGGTAAGGACTTCAAAACATGTAGAAAACAATAGCACCACACTTTACTAATTTCATGTCTCATGTACAAATTTGATGATTTCATTTAATAGATAGCTACCTCCATTGACTCTTGTTGTGGAAGTTGGTTTGCCACGAGAGAAGAGAGGCCCTCAAAAGCTGAGACACCCTTGTCTTTGTCTCTAATGACCCATAACTTGCTTTGTTTTCCATTCTTGCTCCCTTGAGCAAGACCTTTTATAGAAGCATTTTTTTTATGTGAAATTTTGGAACTTATTTTATTTTATTTTTGTTAAGAAATCTACTAAAAATTACTAAATGAGTATTTTTAAAAGACAAGTTAAAAGACTTTGAGTTCTTAAATACTTAGATCTAACTATCTTGAAATTGGGTAATCTATATAATTATTTGACAAATAGAGTGCGGGTTTTCTTTTTTTATTTCAGATTGACTGATAGGTTGAGGATGTTACAACCCCAAATTTTGAGGTCATGAAAAGTACTCTCAGATAGAGTTATATTAGAGAGAGCAAATGTATGATATGCTTCCAGGGCCTCTTTCATGTAGCTTCCAATAATGGGTTACATTGCACTTTGTGTGTATGGTTTGCATATATATTGCATTTTATGCATATGGTAGGTATAATATGTCAATATGCATAGGGTCATTCACTCTCTCGCCTTCATAATATCATCGTTATAAAGTCTTTTTCTAACTAATTAGGATCAGCTACATGAATCATGGTCCACCATTATGTTCTTTTATTCTCGATATATTACACATAAAATTTCCTTACCTCATCATCATACGTTCAATTTTATTTTTTTGTTTTATTGCATGAGGGAAATTTTACGGCATGTTTGTTTGGTTGAAGTTTTGGCTTCAGAAATATCAAAATCTTTTAGCTCCATTGTTGGGAGAGTGGGAGGCATGAAAGGTGTGGCTTGTATTTTATAATTCCAAAAAATAGAGGAGAAAATTGAAACTGCCTCTGTCATACCCCCTATTGAGCGACAGGTTTAGGGGTTTCGGCTTTCAAAGTCGAAAATTTTGCCAAACAAACATGCCCTTGAAGTTTAAGCACAAAATGAATATTCTAAGCCATCGTCTTTGCTCTTTTATTGAAGAAAAACGTTTATATAAGGTGTCAACCTTATACCTATGAGTAAGGTGCACCTAAAAAACCTACTAGAGAAGGTTATTTCTATGCTGGAAAATCCTCAAATCGATCATCTCGACCTCAAGAATCATAGATATGAAAAAAATGGGATTTTTAGTCCTAAAAATAGTTTATCTTCTAACACATTATTTGGACAGTTTATTTTCAAGATTTTTCAATATTTGATCGTCACCATTTCTAGAACTTTAAGTTTCATAATTGAAGGTAACAATAGATTTTCATATCATAGCAAGGTTTTGCACCATCGAAGTGCAATTTCGGCCTAGTTTTGATGTGCACCTTACTCCAATATTATAAGGTTGGCACCTTATACAACACTCACCCTTTATTGAAAGCTCAATGCCATTGCAAATATTAGGTCATTACGAGAGAAGTTCAGGGTGTTCTAGTGGCCACATAGTGATGTGTGCACCACCCACGTTGTTGGGATGGCACCACTCTCCATAAATGGATGTATTTTTTCTTTTTTTTGGAAAATATTCTAATAGTGGCAAAGCCTGTCTTATACATGAACTGGAACGGTATAATATGTGTTAGGTGAAAGAGAACCAAAAAGAGGTAGACCCTTAATAATGAGGGGTGTCTAGTGTCTATCACACAAGATAGGGCCGCGGTCACCATTCAAACCACCCATGGGGGCTCACCACATACATATAAGATCCCATAGGCGCGCACCTTCACTATCATTAGCATGGCTTACCCGATCCATGAACGCGCCCAAGAGGCCTTCTCGGAGTTCGTCGACGATCCCTTCCTCCAGAAGCACGGAGTCATTCGACGCCAGTCTCATATGCGCAACCGTCGTGGCCTTGACATCTACACCCAGTCATGGGCACCTGCTGGCTCGAGTCGTCGACCGTGTGGTCTCGTGTGCATGATCCATGGATTCATGGTGCACAGTGGAGGGCCCTGGGAGCTGACAGCCATTGCGATGGTCAAGCAGGGTTTTGCAGTATATGCCTTGGACCTACAGGGCCATGGGCGCTCTGAAGGCCTCCGGGGCTACATTCCAGATATCCAATGGCTCTTGGATGACTGCATTGAATTCTTCAATTGTAGTCGTGCTGAAGCACCAGGCCTTCCGGCATTCTTGTATGGGGAGTCCCTCGGGGGTGCACTGGCTCTGTTGGTGAGCCTCCGGCAGCCTGGAGTCTGGAAAGGGGTAATCCTGAGCGGCCCGATGTGTGGCATCGCCCGAAGTTTCATGCCGCCATGGCCAATGGAGCTGCTCCTCCCACTGGCTTCCATCGTGGTGCCCACATGGAAGGCAGTCCCCACACAATCCCTAGTGAAGGCCTCGTACAAGGAACCAACATTCAGGAAATTGATCAGGACCGATCCCTACTTATGCAGAGGGCTGCCACGTGTTGCCAGCGCTCGTGAGCTCCTAAAGGCCTGCGATGAAGTACAAAGAAGGAGTTATGAAGTCTGTGTCCCTCTGCTAATCTTGCACGGCGATACTGACCATGTCTGTGATGTTAAGGCAACGGAGGTTGTCTACGAGAGGGTGCAGAGCCACGATAAAACACTGAAGATTTTGCCAGGAATGTGGCACCAATTGATTGGAGAGCCACCGGAGAACGTCGATTGCGTGTTCAAGCTCGTCTTCTCGTGGCTCAGAGATCGAGCCACTGGTGCATGTAATGGCAATGCCAAAGGCTAATGTGTAAGCTGCTCTCAAGGAAGTTGCTAGTTGTCCACCACATATCCATCCCCATCCCCATCGTAACAACAGTTCCATGATCACAGGTCTCTCCAACTGTAATTAACTTTTAATGAGATTGCTTTTCCCTTCTTTGTTTTCAAACATTTATGGAGTAAAGAATGATTTCGTGAGTTGATCTACATGAGATTGTGTCCCTTTCATATAAAGATCGTCATCGATTATGGTCGACTCTTAAGTAACTGCGGGGCCTTATATGTGGTTGAGCTCATATAAAATGCTTGAAACCCCATAAATTTGATTGAAATTATGGATAAAATCACATCATAGAAAGTGATGTAGAAGAAACCATGGTGAGGCCAAAGTTTCAGTAGAGAACGAGTGTCCCACCCCAAAGAAAAGGTGTTTAAATAAAGTAGTAAAATCAGGATCGGACCACCCACCGAATCGGTAAAAGGTCTGGTGAAATTAAAAGCTAGTTCAACCATACGTCCACTGGTCAAATCGATTAGGCTGAATTTGAAAAATGTTAAAAAAAAAAAATGGGAATGATAGTTTACAGATATATAAAAGAGATATTACCTAAAACAGCACAACTTTATTTATTGGGTGCGGTTTGTATAGAGCCGAGGCTCTAAACAATCAAATTAGAGCCCACCTTCAAATAGTTATGAGAAATGTGGTTTCAATATTGGGTGATAACCTTAAAATATATTTTTATTTTTAATTATAAAATTTAAATCATAAAAAATAGTGTAGATCGAGCAGATCGATGAAAACTTAAAAAACTTGAAAATTGACGGTCAAAAATGTGTTACAAAGTGCATTATTTCCAAAAGTTTGAAATCCATTTTTTTCTCATGTCCGATGATCAATTTGAGAATATTAGGGCATCAAAACAAGTTTTTCCAGTGAAATTTTTGAGGTAGGCTCCAATTTGATTGTTTAGAGCCTCGGCTCTATATAAACTTTTCCCTTATTTAAATGGTTTGACATTTCAAAAGTAGCAAATCCAATCAATTAAACAAGGGTGCAGTTAGCAGACGGATGCCTACTATTTTTATATCTAATTATAAAATTTTAAATTTCAAAAATGGTTAAAATCAAGTAGATCTATAAATATATGAAAACTTGAAAATAGACAATGTAGATAATATGTTGTAAAATGCACTATTTTTGAGACTTAAAATTATTTTATTTTTCATAGTCATACATCTCGATGTCGAGATGATCAATCAAAGGATTTTTCAACATTAAAACTACCTTTTCCGATGGATTTTTGAAGTGAATCCATAATTCTACATATAAGATTGCAACCTTATATAAACTTTTTCCATTAAACAATGGTTTTGACTAACTTCTGTCCAAACCTGGTTTTTTCTTTAGACAAGAGCCTGCCAAGGTTTGAATCGAGAGGATATTGTTTCTGGTCTTAACAGTGGTGAAAAAATAATGAAGTTATCAACTAATTGCTGTCAAAATTTCAACCAGCAATTTTGTTCAATGGAACTCATCGAAAATCATAGAAAGCCATGCCCAATATTTAAAAGTCAGTTGAACGCTTCAGATGAAGCTTTGAATCGATCTGAAGGTATATAAACGAGAGAGAGAGAGGGTTTTCGAGTTAGGGATTTTAGATATGTTTTGAACTGTGGTCACCATGACTAAAAGGCATGTTAATCCACTCTTAAAGAAAATTTCGAGGAATACATGGGTCCTACTTACTTATCACAACTTGATCTAGGTTCTGGAATTAATGTCTCTGAAAATAATGAGAAACAACAGAGAATTGCAAAATTCAGAATATATGGAACATAAAAAAAGCCTGTAAACAAATTTCTGCAGAGTTGTCCTCTCTTGAAAAATTTCTCTTCTTTTGAATGAAATGGAGCTTCGTATTTATAAAAGAGTATATTTCACTATGGATAAACCATTACTGATTTGAATTGGGTAGGAAGTGATTGAAAGCAGTAATGAAAGTGTAGAAGTGGTTGAGAGCCCTACCTGTAGCCAATTTTGGGGCTTACTCAAACCTGGTCAAAAAATTAGCAGATTTTAAGCATAGGAAGAAACCATTTGTTATTCATCAAATAACAACTAAAAATTGGTGAAAGATCAAGATTAATACATTGGTTGCACTTGATCAACTTAACTTCAGTAAAAAATCTTAAAAGTATAACTACACAGTCAAAATTATCTTAACTCCTATAAAAATGTTTAGGCTTCAAATTTGACATCAAACTGTTTTGAAACCCATCCTCTACTCAAACAATTAACACATGCATTGCTCTAGGGGTGATGATCAGATGTTCGTGATCTAGGTTCATTCGATGTTCACCGCATTTTTAATGTCAAAAAATGAAGGAAAAAGTTTATATAAGGATGCTACCTTATAATGTAGAACTACGGATGCTCCCAAAAAATCCATCGGAAAAGGTAGTTTTAATGCTGAAAAACCTTTTGATTGATCATCTCGACATATGTATGACTATGAAAAATAAAAAGATTTTAAGTCTCAGAAATAATGCATTTTACAACATATTATGTACACCGTCCATTTTCAAGATTTTCATATGTTTATCGATCTACTTGATTTTAACCATTTTTTAAATTTAAAATTTTATAATTAGATATAAAAATAGATTTTGAGATAATCCTAAGAACATTTTACCTCAAAATTATCTATCATGATAAAATTTGAAGGTGGACCTTTACTCTACACCTACGGATGGACCTGTATGCCAACTGCACCCAAAAATGAAACACAATCTCAGAAGTAAAAGTATCATTAAAGTTGGCATTAGAGAACATTATGGCATTTCTTGATTTTGTTTGGCAATAATTCTTCCTTCCAAGATTACGGCCAGGATAATTCTTTATGAAGACATATGCAATCCAATTAAAGGAACCGGATCATATGCTCAAATCAGAACAAGCATAAAATCAATTGTCGATTCAATATTTCCTATGCCATGTGTTAAATCTATACATGTGTCTAAGTGAGGGTCCAAGAGGAGAGTTGGGTTTACTTTCTCTCTCCAAACTTTGATAGCTTCGCACTCTAGAAAGACAAAGAGGTGCAAATGTGCTTATTATACAGGAAAGGTTTTTATACTTCTCTCCATAGCACAGAAGATCTATGCTTCTCATACCATCCAACTGTCCAATTTTGATTGAGAGAGCCATTCACAGGTTGATCTTAGATCCGATGTCTCAAAATATTTTATTTTTAATTTTTTTTACACAAATTGTATGAATATGAAATTTGGTATGTGTCATCTTCTAATTGGGACACACTTATAAAAAATATTAAAAATAATTTTTTGATAAAATATAATGACCAAAATACCTCTTAAAATTTTTAGAGGTATTTTGGTTATTTTATTTTATTGAAAATATTTTTTTTTATAGTTTTTGCTAGTGCGAGTTTAATAGAGGATTGGACTTCCAAAATTTGGTGTCAAAATAGTATATAGAAAAAAAAGTCAAAAATAAAATTGTGTAGAGATGTGCATTGTGATTGGGGCAACCTTAGCCCTCCATTCAGAATAGACGGTTGGATAAGGGGAAATATATAAGTTTTATATTGTAGGATAAGCATAGAAAACTTGTCTTTATCTATTATCTATTACATATTTAGTGAGAGAATCAAACACCTTGCTCTTTCGTAGCTTTACTTTTTTGCATTAATTGCATATATAAGTAGGTGTCTTTACTTTTTTGTATTAATTACGTATATAAGTAGGAAAAATACCGTATGCTCTTCTTATATGCGAATATTACAATCAAGGTCGATAAATCCAACTTTTTTTTTGGATAAAATTACCCATCAATCTGATGCTATCCTTAAAACACGTTTTCATTTATTTTTATTGGTAAGGCAGTACCCGAAGGTTTGGGCCACTTCCCAAACGGTCCAAGGTTCAAATCCTCGGACCCCCTTGACAATTCATTTTTTTTAAGTCTAGGGAGCAGTTCGTGGTCCTCATCCTTAGACCATAAATTTTTTAAAAAATAGCGGTCCGAGGATGGGGACCTCGGACTTGCCCTGGCAGTTCATTTTTTTTAGACTAGAGAGCGGTTCTAGGGCCCCATCCTCGGACCAAAATATTAAAAGAAATAACCGTTCGAGGTTGGGGACATTGGACAGCCCTTGCAGCTCATACTTTTTAAAGTCTAAAGAGCGGTTCGAGGTCCCATCCTCGTACCAAAATGCTAAAAGAAATAGCGGTCCGAGGATAAGGACCTCGTATTGCCTTGCCAGTTCATTTTTTTAAAGAAAGAAAAAGAACCTTGGACTGCCTTACCAATGAAAAAAAAAAATTAGAATGTGATCAGTGGATTTGTCAAAAAAAAATCAAAAAGTCAGGTTTACTGACCTGGGTTATATATTCGCATATAAAAAGAGCAAACCGTATTTTTCCTATTTATATAAAGTCCGTATGTGAATAAATTTCTTTTTAGAAAAAAAATACCCTCTTTTAGATCCCATAAACATTTATCTCCCCCCTAACACTTAATCTTCTCTCTCTCCAAATTATAATCATTTAAATCTTTTGTACCAAAACATTTCGAAACAAATCTATTATCTCATATACCAAGCATATACCTTATCCCACTTAATTTTTCTCTTCTATATCTTCCAAATCTCTCTCTCTCTCAATCATATAAAATTTTTTCTCAAAACCTAAAAAAAAATCTCTTATATTATATGCCTAGCACATGCCTTATCCCACCAATTTTTTCTCTTCTAGATACCATAACTTAGGAAACATTTCTCTCTCTCCACGTATCTCCTCCCCCCAATACATTAATCTTCTATCTCTCTAATCGTGTAAATCTTTTTTCTCAAAACCTTCAAAAAAAAAAAAAAAAAAAATCTTATCTCATTTACCTAGTACATGACCATCTCTCTCTTAGCCCACCTATTTTTTTCTTCTAGATTCCATAACTTAGAAAACATCAGTCCGGTCTATTTATCCAGGGTGGAAAGCAATTGT